TTGTTCAGTCATTTGGTTGTCCCTCACTAATCCCCCTGCCAACTTGGTCGTAGGCAGCCCTCTTGTGAGAGTGTGAGGGTTAATTTGCATATTATATAGGCTACTATGAACATAAACATATATCTTTTATATGGATATATGTTTTTCATTCTCTTGGGTGTACATCTAGGAGTAAAATGACAGCTCTATGTTGAACATTTTGAGAACCTATCAAGCAGCTCTGCAAAGTGCCTGTGCCATTTTATGTTCCCACCAGCAATGTGTCAAGGTTCCAATTTCTCTATCCTTGCCAACACGTTATTGTCCATTTTTTTATAACCATCCAAAGTGGGTGTAAAGTTGTATCTCACTGTGGTTTTGATTTACACTTCCCTAATGGCTAATGATAAAAGCATCTTTTCATGTGTTTATTGGCCATTTGCACAACTTCTTTGGAGAAATGCCTAATCAAATCCTTTGTCCATTTTTTAATTGGGCTATTTATCTTTTTATTATTGAGTTGTAAGAGTTTCTTTAATTCCTTTGATTTCTTTTCTCCCAGCTTTATTGAGGTATAATTGACAAGTAAAACTGTAATATATTTGAAGTTTACAACTTGATAGTTTGATATATGTATACATTGTGAAAGGATTTCTACCATCAATTTAAAACATCCACCACCTCACTTTTTAGTTGTTTTTTATAAGTTTGAATCTCTTAGCAAATTTTAATTACACAGTGTAGTATTACTATCAACTATCATTACCATGTTATACATTACATCCTCACACCTTATTCATCTTATAATTGAAAGTTCGTAGCCTTTTGCTAACCTCTTCCTATATCACCCTGGCCCCCAGTCCCTGGCAACCACCCTTCTACTCTTCGTTTCTATGAGTTTGACTTTTTTTTTTTAGATTCCACATGTAAGTTGTACCATATAGTATTTGTTTGTCTTTCTCTCTCTTATTTCACTTAGCATAATGTCTTCCAGATTCTTCCATGCTGTTGCAAATGTCAGGATTTCCTTCTTTTGTAAGTCTGAATAATATTCCATTGTCCAAATACATATACCATATTTTCTCTATCCATTCATCCATTGGCAGACACTTAGATTGTTTCCATACCTTGGCTGTTGTGAATAATGCTGCAGTGAATGGGAGTACAGTTGTCCCCTCAAGGATTTCATTTCCTTCAGGTATATACCCAGAGATGGGATTGCTGGATCACAAGTTAGTTCTATTTTTAATTTCTTGAGGAACCTCCACTCTGTTTTCCATAGTGGCTGTATCAGTTTACATTCCCATCAACAGTGTACAAGGGCCCCCTTTTCTCCACATCCTCACCAGCATTTGTTATCTCGTTTCTTTTGATAATAGACATCCTAACAGATGTGAGGTTATATTACCTTAATAATGAGTGATGTTGAGGACCTTTTCATATACCTGTTGGCCATTTGTGTGTCTTCTTTCTAAAGTGTCTATTTGGATCCTTTGTTCATTTTTTTAACTGGCTTTTTTGTGGGGGGTTTTATATTGAGTTGTATGAATTCCTTGTATCATTTGTATATTCACCCTTTGTTGGATATGTGGTTTGCAAATATTGTCTCCCATTCCATTGGTTGCCTTTTCATTTTGTTGATGGTTTCCTTTACTGTGTGGAAACTTTTTAGTTTATGTAGTTCCACTTGTTTATTTTACTTTTGTTACCTTTGCTTTTGGTGTCAAACCCAAAAAACCAATACCAAGACCAATGTCAAGAAGCTTACCCCCTATGTTTGCTTCTAGGAGTTTCATGGTTGCAGGTTTCACCTTCAAGCCTAATCCATTTTTATTTGCTATTTGTGTTTGTTGTAAGATAGGGGTGCAATTTTACTCTTTGCATGTGTTTCCCAACACGATTTATTAGAGACTATGCTTTTTTCCATTGCATATTCTTGGCCCTTTGATTGAAAATTAATTCCCTGGTTTTATTTCTGGGCTTTGTATTCTGTTCTATTGGTCTATTTGTCTGTTTTTATGCCAATACCATACTGTTTTGATTACAACAGCTTTGTGATATAGTTTGAAATCAGGAAGTATGGTTCCTTCAGCTTTGTTTTTTCCCCAAATTGCTTTGGCTATGTGGGGTCTTCCGTGGTTCCATACAAATTTTAGAATTGTTCTATTCCTGTGAATATTGAGTCGCTGTGGAAAATTTCTCTGCAGCTTTCTGTGTACCTAAACATAAGCTGGCACCCAGAATTGGAAGGGGTGTGCTATAAAACCCTGTGGCCTCCCTGAGGAGACAGTAGGGAAAGTCTGTCCTTACTTGGTGACAAGGCAGATTTTTCTCTGCAAAATAAGGAAAGACATTAACATTTACTGACCATGACTTTCATGTTCACAACCTCATTTGTCCAGCATAGAGCTGTGAGGTGTGTGTTAGCAGGAGGAGACGAAGACTCTGAGTGGTGAAGTAGCTAGTCAGTCGCACACTCATTACGTAGCACTGCTGGAATCTGAACCTCGCTGTGTCTCAGGTCCTAAGCTCGTGCCTTGCCTGTGCTGGGAGGGCTTCTGGGTCTTCATATCACCGCTCCAAGGGAGGAAGGCGCTCCACTGAAACCCCTTCGGGGCTAGGAAGTTTACTTTTAGTCAGTGGAAGGTCCTTCTTCGTGCTGGGCATCTGGGAGGGAAGCAGAGCCCAGCTCAGGGCTTCTCAACCCCAGGTGCTCAATGGGGCATTCGGGGGATCTGTGCAGTGGGTAGAAGATAGACATCCTTCCCTCTTGCTGAAGTGTAGCATTTCCTTTCATCAGAATGTAGACAAAGCCCAGAGTCGTGTTAGCAATTCTAATGACATTGTCACCAGCAGGAATCGCCGATTTTCATAGATTGCAGTTGTTACTCAGATCATGAAATACTGTTTATGTTCCTGACTACTTCAAGATGATGATAGTTAATAGACTTGCTGGTAGATCCTGTTATTTAATATGGTAATAAGGAGTTATATGTAATGATATCCAAATTCCTTGTGTAATATGACTGTGATTGATACGGTGGAAAATGTATAACTCTTTACATTTCATCCTCTGAGAGGCATCGCCTTCAAAGCAGCCTCCCTCCAGTCTAAGAGGGTAAGTCCAAAGCAAGATCTCAAAGCAGCCACTGACCTGATGCCAGAGAGGCGGCCATGTTTTCCAACAGAATGTAGACCAGGGGCTGATCCTGTCTCCTCCCATTCTCCTTCCCCAGCAGAGGTCCGGCCCAGCGGGAGACCCATCAACCCTGCCCGGGAGCCGCCGCTCACCCAGGCCTCAGGTGTGTACGGGCCTGATCTCAAGACGCATGTTGGTTCCTTCACCGAGTTACCCAGAAACACGCACATGAGTTTCTGAGTACCCAGTGGAAACTATCTGTAGATTCAAACTGATTTCCCCTCCCACCTCCCAACCCAGGCAGACTTCAGGAGGAAGTGAGCCTGCAGGGAGCAAAAGTCTCATCCAGAAGAAGGGTCCAAGGTTTTCCAAAAACACATCCAGAGCTTCGAGCTCTGGAGCTGTTGATTACCACACCCGCTCCCGGCACAGCACCAGCCAGTGTATGGTCCTAGACCAGTGATGGCGAACCTATGACACGCGTGTCAGAGGTGACACACGAACTCATTTTTTTGGTTGATTTTTCTTTGTTAAATGGCATTTAAATATATAAAATAAATATCAAAAATACAAGTCTTGGTTTTACTATGGTTGCAAATATCAAAAAATTTCTATATGTGACACGGCGCCAGAGTTGTTAGGGTTTTTCAAAATGCTGACACGCCGAGCTCAAAAGGTTCGCCATCACTGCCCTAGACACAGACCCAGCTCCTGCCCGGGAGCTTCCTGGGAGTGATTCTATTTTTAAGAGAGGTGTCGGTTCTTCCCAAGTGCGATGACCAGAACGGGACACAGAGCTACAGGCCTGCTGCCTGACCAGTGCACAGTTATTATGCACTATCATATGCTTTTCAGAACCCGGCAGTGATAGTAGTTAGTACGTGCATTGTACAGGAAACAAGACTCAATCCAAATTCCATTCTGGACACTGACCATCTGTGAATGGGCTGCACTTCTTGAGCTTCAGTGTATCTTTCCGTAGAATAGGGATTATAACACGTGCCGTAGAGAATTATTACAGGATAAATAACAGTTTTAATAGCTATCGTTCATCGGGTGCTTTATGTGCCTAACATCCTGTGATGTACAATTTGCAACATTAGATCACTTGACCCCAAACAATAACTCTGATGAGGCAGGTGGGGTGGCCCCCACTTCCAGAACTGCAGGGGTGGCCTGCAGGTGAGGGAGTTGAGGCCCTTACACTTGACCAAACAATAGGTAATTTACAGCCCAGATGAGAATCCAGATCTGTCTGCCTCCGTTAGCCTGAGTCCTATCTGCTACACGATACTGCTACATTTCTCTTTTTCCCTTTCTTCATCTTTTCAGCCTCCTCCCTTCTTCTCTTTTCTCCTTTCTCTTTCTCTCTCTTCTTTCTAGTTCCCTCGCTCCCTTTCTTGTTTTCTCCTTTTTTCTTATCCACCTTCTCTCCTTGCCCTCCATTCATTCACCCTGAGAGCCAAGAGGATCACAAGAGGTCCGAGCACTCCACCACCCTCCCCGGGGTGAGAGGTTGGGAAAACAGTCTCATCACTGAACTGGGGTCCGTCATCAGGTGGTCTCAAGTCTGCCAGCACACATCAGAGTTCCTCTCATGTCTGTTTCTCAATTCCTCTAGTTCCTGGGGATGTTTTTGCCAAGAATTCTCTCTGGAAAGGGGCCTATGAGTACCAGGGGAAGAAGCAGCCAGCCATGCTCAGGGTGACTGGCTTCCAGGTTGTCAGCAGCAAGGTCAATGCCACCATGATTGACCACAGCGGCGTGGAGTTGCACTTGGCCGGTGAGGAGTAGTCCCTCCCCTCCACCCCCCGACCCTCTGTGCAAGCCAGGGCTGCTAAGGGCAGGCGGGCACATGCCCTTTGCTGGGCTGAATCTGCTGTCATTACATTGTACTGTCCTGGGAGGCTCAGACCTGTCTGGTGGGCAGGGGGAGGAGGAAGTGTCTATTCATCTTGGTTTACATGATAAAAACACCAGGGACAAAGGTGACAAACATCAATAACTTGAACATACGAAGGACCCTGAGAAATAAAGAGAAATAAGACTCTTATCCCTAAAACGGAACCAGAAACGGGGGCTGAGAACCCAGGAGCCACAAGATAGGCAGTCAGTAAACAAGAGAAGAGTATTTTTCATCAGTAATCAAAAAAAATCAGGTAAACACAAAATATCACATTCTACTCTTCCCACTAAGATTTTTTTAATGATAAACTTTAGTTCTGGTCATGGTCCAGTGAAGGCACTGATCCAGTGCTGGTCCCACTTGAAAATAGCACAGTTCCAGAAAACAGGGTGGCATTTGTATCAAGAGCCATTGAAAATGAAGGGACCCATTCATTAAGAATCTTTATCATAAGAAATAAAAATGGATGGAGTCAAACACTCATAAATAAAGGATGTTCGTATTACAGGGCTATTCGTAGTACATAAATGGAAATATTTTAAAAAGGGGGGATATACTAATTATAGCATATCTACTGGGTAAAAGATTATGTCAGTTTTGGAAGAAATACATCCAGGATAATGCTTTTAAAATGGGACTCCAGTTTTTAAAAGAAAAAAATCATATTTATAAGAAAGAAAATTGGAAGTAATTAAACCAAAATGTTGACAGTGGCTATTTCTTAATGAGATTAAGAGTGATGTTTTTTCTTCATGTATCTCTGCATTTTCTAAAATTTCCCTAATTTTCAGTCCTTCTATAAATAGAACAACTAAATATGTAGAAAAACTGTTTGTTGAATAGATGGATAGATAAATGAATGCACGAGTGAAGGAATGCACACATTAATACACAGTGTACGCTCACATCCATTCATGCACACACACGAACACAAGCGAACAGTCCCATTCACTCTTTAGCTCTGAGAGAGTCCTAAACACATTCATATCCTTCGGATACATCACTCATTCATTCCTACACACACTGAATTGTAGGCACACCAACGCATTAACTGATACATTCACATATACAAAACCACATTCACTTTATTCTCACACATGCATGTATAAACAGGGTCCCAGCCACAGGCCAGTAATCCATTGTTTATTAACACCCATGCACATTCTTGCACAGACTCACAGCCAACACCAACTCCCCAGCAGCACCATACTTGCCTGCTTACAGTTAATAATTCGTGGAGTGTTTTGATCAACATCTGCATGTGAGATCACATTCAGATGCTCACACCCGCATACCCACAGACTTGGGTTTTGACATTTCTCTGGATCTCTCAAGTGCACCCTCTGAACTTTCTTTTCCCAGGAATTTACAAGAAAGAAGATTTCCATCTCCGACTCCAGGTTTACCAGATCACAGGGCCTGTGGAGATCTTTGTGAATAAGTTCAAAGATGATCACTGGGCTCTAGATGGGCATGTAAGTTGAGCAAATCTCACTCAGTCCTTGGACTCCCGGTGCCCTTGGCCCATCCCATTCCCAGGTCACTGCCAGGGAAGAGGAGGTGAGGAGAGGGTGGAAACTCTTGCATCCACGTGGAAACTTGGGCGGAGGTTTTCCGTAGGGCCAGAACAGGGAGCAAAGGAGACCTCATTGGCTAGCGAAATGGGCAAAGGCAAAGATACAAAGGGCCAGGAGGCTGGGAGTCCAGAGGGTCAGCACATCTGAGCGAGATGGAGTAGGTTCTGATGTTAGATCCAAAAGCAAGGAATTTGGAGGTCAGCGGTATACAGTGATTCAAGCAAGTTGAAGGTCAGGGCGTGGTGGTGGGAGCTGGGAGAAGTTGGTGTCCCAGATGAGAACCTGGAACATCTACCCGCATTTAAGGATGCAGATGGTAGGTGACTCAGCACAGCGGGGGAGACTAAGACAGAGGGGACGTGCCAGAGGTGAGAGGACAGGGTCAGAGTTGGGAGATGAAGCCAGGAGTGCAGGCCAGAGGCTAGACAGGAATGGGGCTGTGGGGGGCCAGGGGCAGCTGGAGAAACTGCCTAGGATGGCAGCCAGCCATTGGCCCGTGTCTGTGTCACCCAGGGTGTGTTCAAGGGGACAGGAGAGGAGGTCAGCCTAGAGCACCACAGACAGAGGGCCCTGGGGAAGAGCATGCGTTGGAAGGTACACCAGTAGCACCAGCTCTGCCCTCCGACAAGTGTGTTTGTCTGTCTGTGCCAGTTACACGAGCCTCATGGAGGCAAGTGGCAGAGGGAACAAGAAGGAGTTATGTCCCCAGTTGCCCCCCAAAAATATTATAGCTAATGGAACGGGGATGAACTCTGATAAGTGTGTTAAGTCTGCTGGGTCCATTTTAATCTTGGTTCACTCTGTCCCAGGGTGCTGTAAGTCAGCTTTTCATCACAGCAAGAACAGCTAACACTTTACTAGGGCCTGTTAAGGGTTGTAAGTGCTTCATCTATATTAACTCATTTAATCTTCACAGCCACCCTGAGACGTAGGTACTGTTATTATTCCTGTTTTATAAATGAGAAACTGAAGCCAAGATTAAATGACTTGGCCAGTGGAAAAGAGAAATGCCTCCCTGCCTCCCACAAGCAGTTGGTGCCCCCGCCCCTCCCCCAGCACATCAGCCTGCTCCGCCCGGGCCTGGTTGTGCTGGTCAGGGTCACCGTCTGTATCTGGGCAAGAGCGGGAGGTGAAACAGCGCCGCGGGCAACATGTCTCTGAGTGTGTCCCTGGCCTGGCTTCCATCTCCTGCTGGCACGCCTCCCAGCTTACACTCTCTGCTCCCACCACACAGGTCTCCTCAGAGTCCTCCGGAGGCACCTTCATCTACCAAGGCTCTGTCAAGGGCCACGGCTTTGGGCAGTTCGGCTTTCAAAGACTTGGTAACTAGCATTTGTCCCCTGGGAGCATGAGCTCATGGGTGTGGAGGAGAACTCATGGGTGTGGAGGAGAAATGTGTATATGGGGGTAGAGGACAGAGGATTGGTGACAACCAACAATCTAAGACAGGAGTTCTCGCCGTTGAGGTGCTGATGGAAGTTGTGGAACACCTCTCCAGAAATAACCACGATACGTCATGCACTCCCCTTTGCCAGTTTCACGCTCAGCTGTTGAGCTGAAGGCCCCCAACTTAAGGGCATTGGGTCTCAAATACAGGCCCCTGCAGTACTGTCTGGCCAGCCCTCGGGCATCACCCAGACATCCCTAAGCATTGAGACGTGGGGTCCTGAGGGGTGCCTTCATCCGTGCTGTCCTTTCCTCCCCACATGTCACAGAGGTTGGCATTGCAGTCCTCGTCCTACAGATGAGAAAACAGAGTGTCAGCGAGGCTGCCCTCCCTTGCTCCCCTGTCATCTTTAGCCTGCATGCTCCACACCATCAGTGCCGAGCATCCTCCCTGCAGAGACTGGCTTTGACCCAGAGCCTCTGGGTGTGAGCCTCGGGCTCTCATGGGGGGAGAGGTCCTGGTTTCGTGGGAGGCAGTCCGGGTGCTGCTCCAGAGCCCCTGCCTGCCCAGGCAGTCAGTCCATTGCGTGTTGTCACAGCGCTGGCCCTCAGAAAGCTTCCCCTTGTCTTCAGTGGAAATGGGCTTCCCTGTTCTGCCCACTCCACCCTGCTTCTCCCGAGAGCTCTTCTTAGCTCTGCCCCCGTGAGCTGCACTCTTCCCTGCAGCAGCCCTTCAAATGCCTGACCCCTCAGCCTCAAACACGGAGAGACCTCAGGAAGCCGAGTTCTGATTCTGGCTCCACTCGGAGCTTCAGCCCCTCAGTTAGGTGGCAAGGGTGTCCCACTGCGCTCTTCCGAGCCCCCCCCCCCAAGTCTTGTGGGCGGAGGGGCAGACAAAGGAGGGGAGACCCTCCAGAGACAGAAACTTCAGTGCCCCCAGAGCAGGTCCTCATGCATCCGTTTCATATTTTCACTTTCTTGTAAAGTTCCATGGCCCAAAGCTTCTATGGCCCAGAAAGTTTCAAAACTTCTAAAGGGCTGCACCCTTTTAAGATTCTATTCTGCGACATAGTTTCAGATTCTCCCGCAGATTGGCTCCCCCTGGACTGAACGCTGTCCTCACATATGATCTGACCGACCCGTGAGCCCCTTCTCCCGGGAAGGTCTGGGTGTGTGTGGAAGGCAGCGAGGAGGAGGCACCTAGCCAACCGCAGCCGCACTCCCCAATGGTGACCGCTAGGGGCCGCACTCCCAGACTGTGTCTCTGACCTAAGGTTTATGCTTTGGGACTTGCAGACCTCAGGCTGCTGGAGTCAGACCCGGAATCTATCGGCCGCCACTTTGCTTCCAACAGCAGCTCAGTGGCCGCCGCAATCCTGGTGCCTTTCATCGCCCTCATCATTGCAGGCTTCGTGCTCTATCTCTACAAGCACAGGTACAGGAAGGAAGGAGGCAGGGGGCGGGAGGGCGACAAGACACGCCAGGCCCCAGCCCACCCAGAGCTTTCCTGAGCTGTGACCTTCTGAAACCTCCCTGCCCTCCCTCTGCCTCCCTCTCCCTCTGTCCGACTTTAGACCTGAGTCTGTCCTTTCCCTCTCATTCCCAGGAGAAGACCCAAAGTTCCGTTCAATGGCTATGCCGGCCACGAGAACACCAATGTCCGGGCCACATTTGAGAACCCAATGTACGACCGCAACATCCAGCCCACAGACATCATGGCCACCGAGGCGGAGTTCACAGTCAGCACAGTGTGTACAGCAGTATAGCCCCCAGGCCTGCTGCCGCCCCACTGCCCCCGAGAGCCCCGCCTCCAGCAGCCGGTGAGAGGGAGTGGGAGGGACCGGGACCTGTGCGCGCATCCTTTAACATCCACCCTGAGCAAATATTTAACGAAGGAGGAGAAATGATTCCAGTGGGATCGTTTTAACATGCCAGCATCGTTCTAAGGTTTCATCTTGACATTTTCCTACTCAGAACTCTTGCAAACAGAAAGCAAAAAATAAAAAGTGACATCTCTGACAACATAAATCAGGCCTTTCAGGAGATTGGTGATGACTCTGCACTTGGAGCTGCAGCGTTATTGAACAGTGTAGGACAAAAACAGGAATGGCCCATGACCTGCACACACCCCACCCCCGCTCCACGTCTGGGTTCCGCTGGGTCTCAGGTGCCTGGGTGCCATCTGGGCCATCCGGGGTGGCGGCTCCCAGGCTGGGCAGCCTTCAGTGCTGCCCCTCACAGAATCCAGGCCCTGGGACCATTCGCCCCGCCCACAGCTCCCCAGCAGCAGGCTCCGCCCACATCGGCGTGCCCAGCACAGGAACGGAGCGGTGCTGCTTGGCTCAGGGACTGTGAACACATATACATTTAAAATGGATGATGGGGTCACAAATTCCAGTGATGCCTGACAAGAACAGCTGAAGTTAAAATAAAAACCCCACACAGGGAAGTCACGGCGGCCGAGGGGGTCGGTGAGGAGGGGCAAGGGGCAGGGTGTGTTGACTTTCATGGACCCTTCCTTCACTCAAAACTACATACATGAAAAGTGATACTTTATAGCTCTTACAAAGATGAGTACCGTCTAAGCAGGAGTCGTTACTACATATTCATTATTATTATGTTCCTTTTTCCTTCTGATTTTGAAAGTAAATTTAAAACGTTTCCCTGGCCCCTGAAAGCATGGTGGTCCCTAGGCCCTGGGTCCCCTGTGTGTATCGGACAAGTCGGCCCAGCCTGGAAAACGACAACATCCGGAAAATAAGTGTTCTCTGTGGGGAGGTAGGGTCCCGGCACCCCACGCTCGGTTAGGAAGACTAAAAATCAAAGATCAGGGTCAGGGCAACTAGTTGTCTTTCATTCTTTCCCCTTTTTTCTTCTTTGCTTTGCTCTTGCCTCCTTTTGCTCCCCGCCCCTCCCGCTCACTGCCTCTCTTGTTTGACAAACTCTGGTGTGATCTGTTTGTTCCCAGTTCTCCAGGGCACAGAAGTAGCTCCCTGAGCCCAGTGCCCAGTGCCCATCTTCGTCCGTCCCTCCGCCCGTGTCTGCTGCTGCTGGACCTGGGCCCTCGCCCAGCCGCCCTCTGCTCCCACGCCCTGGAGAGGAGCCCGCTGTGCCCTGATGGGGGCAGCACAGGAAGAGGGGCTGCGAGAGGAAGGAAGCCTATGGACTGCCCATAGCAGAGCAGACACCCCTCCTTCATTTGCGTCTATGGAGACCACAGAAGCTTAGAAATCAGAAACGGGTGTGAAGGATGCCCCATGCTCCCCACAAGCCCAGAGAAGAGGGAAGAGGAGGAGGCACCAACAAGCATTTAAACCAACATGCGCTGCCCGGCTCTGACCGGGCCGTCAGAACCCAGTGACTGTGTCAGCGGATGCATCCGCGGTGCTCAGTCCCCAGAGCGGAGACCAGCCCTGGACAAACGAACGGTCCAGCTGCAGGATGACAGCAGGGATTAACCCAAGGGCAGAAAAACACCTTAAGAAACGCCTTGGAAGTCAGCTTATTTTTTCCAACCTCATTTTATTGCATTCTAATCCCAGTGAGTTAAACAGTCATCTGGGTTCCGAGCAGCGCTGGAAAGAAGGGTGAGGAATCTGGCCACAAGCCCAAGGCCAAGTCTGGCTGTCAGTGGACAAAGAAGAGAAACAAGTCTGTGGCCCAGACGGATGCCACGTCTGCAGGCATCGGGAGGTGCTGGAAGGGACAGGAGAGCGAGCCTGCCCCAGTGGCTGAAAAATCACACTGCTGTGTAATAAGTGCCTGACGCTTCAGGAGTCTCAGTTCTAGGCCTTCCACCACCTAAAATGTAAGAATTATGATCCCCATTTTATAGATGGGAAAACAGAAGCCCAGAATGGTGAAGAGATGTAAGCCACGTGAAGTGGAGTCAGGATGAAACCCAGATGGTTCTAACTCCAAAGTCCACTATACGGCGGCCAGAAACCCAGGTCTAGGAAAGACACAGGGAGCAGTAGGCGAATGCCTGCGGCAGGACTGGCCAGGGCGGAGGGGCCGGGCAGGGGGCCTGCGTGTCCTCTCTGGGTTCTGTTCTCCCCACCTGGGCAGCAACAAGACAAGGACCCAGCCCCTGCCTCCGGGAGCTGGTGGCCCAGGGCCCTGCGCATCTTGCCACAGCAGACGGAGGAGCTGGGCGCTCCTGGATCCAGAGGATGGAGTAGATGACAGACACTCTGCAGCCCTTGCAAGGGAGTTTGATTTATTTTGAGTTTCTTTGTGCTCTGGTCATTAATGAATTCTATAGAAGTATTGTTGGGAATCTAACGAATTTAGGAATCAAACTGTGACATTTAGAGCCACTGTCTCTGTCCTTGGGAAGGTCCCCATGGGCTTACACGCGTGTGCATATGTGACTGCTGGCCTCAGAAGTCCGTATCACATTTTGAAATGACAAATGGAAACATACAAATGTGTTTGGTCCTTAAGCAAATTCTGGGTTGAAACAGTGAAAAGATCTGACTCACGTAAAGATTGGCTAAAGTGGGAAGTGAATTTCCGGCAGATGCCACTGGGACTGGCCACGGCAGGGGCCAGTGCTGCCCTCACAGCATCCCTGGGCTTGGTGGGAGAGGACACACCCCACACTCGTCTCTTTCCCTGGAAACAAACGCAGGAAGCTCTCTGGCTGCTCCCTTCCCCTTCTTACCCTCCTCTCAGACAACCAGTGGGCTCCTCCTCCAGCCCCGCCTCTGCCCCCCTCCTGTGTCCCCTTGTGCAGTCCTAGGAGGTGCCCCCGGAGCCCAGGCTGGTGAGGCATCCAGCACCCTGCTGTGCACTGCCCTTCCCACCTCTGGCATTTTCTCTTCACCTCCAGAGGCTTGGAAGGGACCAGGGCAGACAGGACCCTTCACCCACCATCCACATCACACACCCATCACCATCCCATGTGGGGAAAAAAAAAGTAAAACAAAAACAAACAAAAAAATCTTTTGTACAGAGATATATTTTTGTTATACAAAGTTTGTACAGTACCAAAAAAGAAAGAAAGAAAGGTGTAAATTTTTTTTCATTATTGTAGGTAAACGGTAGTGGAAGCCTTTTTTGTAAATGTAATAAAATGTATAAATATGGTTTTCAGAAAACATCAAGTGCTGTAAATATGTAATCTACACACCTTGGCTTGTCTGCAGTATATACATTTAATTTATCTGTCTCTGTATATGAGGCTTCCCCCTGGGGTCCTGCATTATGGTACTTTCCTGAATTTGAAAGCAATTTTAAATTTTTTGAATTCAAATAAAATATAAATTTTTGCATTTGTTTTCCTACATGTTTATGTCTTTTTTATGGGTAGGGACAAGTGTTTGTTGGGGAAGGAGAGGAAAGACATATTTGGTGCTAAAAGCCAACTGTGGAAACGTAGAAATCTCTTTCTTAAACGGTTTGGTGTTACCTCTATGATGTGTTGGGAACTCCTAGCAAAAATGATAGTGGATACACCATACACAAGAATTAACTCAAAACAGATCCAATGCCTAAACATAGAACCTAAAACTATAAAAGAGAACATCGGGGGGAAGCTTCAAGACATTGGATTTCTCAGATATGACACCAAAAGTACAAGTAAAAAAAGAAAACATAGATAAATTGGACGTCCTTAATATGTAAAACTGTTCAATCAACAGAATGAAAAGGCAACCTATGGAATGGGAGGAAATATTTTGCAAATCATATCTGACAAGGGATTAATACCCAGGACTTTAAGAACTTCTACAACTCAACAACAACAGCAACAAAAACAAACCCTATTTTATAAATAGGCAAAGGACTTGAAGAGACATTTCTTCAAAAAAAAATACACAAATGGCCAATAAGCACATGAAAAGATGTTCAACATCATTAATCATTAGGGAAATGTAAGTCAAAAATCACAGTGAGATAACACCTGACACCCATTAAAATAGATATTATCAAAAAGTAAATAAATAAAATTAGTGTTGCTGAGAATGTAGAGAAATTGGAAACCTGTACTATTGATGGGAATGTAAAATGGCCTGGCCACTTTGGAAAATAGTATCAAGGGTCCTCAAAAAATTAAAATAACTGTACGTATGATCCAACAATTCCTCTTCTGAGGATATCCCCAAAAGAATTGAAAGCAGGATCACAAAGAGATATTTGTAAAGAAACTGTAGCTACAGTGGTTATTGTTAGTGTTCACAGAGGAAGAATCATCGACAATAGAGGACTGGGCAAAGGAGCAGCAGTACATGCACAGTTTGCTGTGTTCCTAGCAACGTTGTTCTCAATAGTCAGAGGTGAAGCAGCCCAAATGTTAGCTGATGGATGGACAAAGAGCACGTGACAGACATAAATGGAATATTAGTGAGCCTTAAAGAGGAAGAACAATCTGACACAGGCTGCAACATGGATGAACTCTGAGAACAGTGAGTGAAATGAACCATTCACAACAAGACAAAAACGGCAGGATCCCACTTATATGGGGTACTTAGAGTAGTCAAACTCATAGAGACAAAAAGCAAAAAGGTAATATGACAGGTCGGAAAACAAACACAGCCATTATATCATTTAATATAATTAGGTGTAATTCACCTATTACAGAAAAAGGTTTTCAGGTTAGATCACAAAGTAAAACTCAACTCAGTGCTGTGACAGGAGGTATTCCTGAAACACAGTGATTCAAAACGGCTAAAAACAAGGGAACAAGCATACCTTCGGCATGGTTCAGAACACTGGCTATCAGCAGGGGAGGGGGAGAGAGGGGGAAGCTCTCATACCCACACTC